GCATCTGTCCGACCTTAGGCCGCGTTCATACCGTGCGACGTCGACGTCAACGTCGACGAAAGCTGCGTAAGCTGCGTAAGTTGCGTAAGCTGCGACTGGTTCGTGAATAATACATACGTATCGATCCAACGAAAGCTGCGTAAGTTGCGTAAGCTGCGTAAGTTGCGTAACCGACGACAGCTAACCGATCGATACGTATCTATTCTTCTCGAAGTTGTCGTCGGTTACGCAACTTACGCAGCTTACGCAAATTACGCAGCTTACGCAACTTACGCAGCTTACGCAACTTACGCAGCTTACGAACTTACGCAACTTACGCAGCTTTCTTTGGATCGATACGTATGTGTTCTTCAGTCGCAACTTACGCAGCTTACGCAACTTACGCAACTTACGCAAAAGACGTCGCACGGTATGAACGCGGCCTTAAACGTCCGCCAGGGTTTTGGGCGTCTTGAGCGCCAGTGTTTTGAGTGCCTCCCCTACGTATCGACATTTTCAACTGTTGCGTATTTGTTAAGAAAGTACAAATATCGTTTTCAGTGGAAACGGTGACGCTGGAAACGCTCGATCGTTTTCTAGTCACTCAAAATGCTGCCACGAAGTATGGACGCTCCCACATTCTCCTTCTACTACTTTACTAGTTTCCTTTTGCTTCATTTTGATAAGCCAAAGCCGCTATCGCATGACAAACACATCTGATCGCAATGTTACAACAAAAAACTTTAGCAAAAAGCAACAAGAAATAAAGGAAATTGTAGGGTACTGAAATGAAAAAAAAACTCACCAACTGAACTGGGGCTGTCACATGCAATTTTGTTGTCTACCAGATTATTTATAATGAAACACGATCCACGTTTCACGTGTTGGAATCGTGGCGGCATGGTTTGAAGGTATACAAGGCCAGCGCCCTATTTGTCTCTTGGCGTGTCGTCGTATTCCCTTTTTCATGGTTTCAATTTTGATTGTGAGTGTTTCTCGCTCTTGTTCCTGGGACTAGATCTTGTTACTCTTTCTCTTTTGCGAATATAATCACTGAGTTGTAACCGCTCTTTTTGTAGCTCTTTCTATATATTCGCAAGTATTTCGCGCTTTTATTTTGCTAAAAGGTTTGTGCCGGATATTGCTTAAGATATGTGGGGATTTTTGGTCTACAGGATGACCTGTGTGAGGATTCTCTGTCTTTAGGCTGAAAAACCTCAGTAGATAGTGAATCGAGGAGTTCTTCACTAATGATGAGCTTTCTTGTCGCACTACCTTTTATCAAACTTTATATGAATGTGAATCTTGTTCCCTTCCACTAATTTCATGAGGATAACTGCCAGTTTTGCCTTAGTAATTTTGGAAATCAAGGACTAGAAAAGGCGAAATCTAATGACAGGGAAAAGTTGTTTATATCAGCAATGTCGGCGAGGATGTGCGTAGCTGGGTTTCAGCTTGAATTTACCGGACTCGTTGGTCCATCAATGAGGAACCTAGCAAAAAAAACTCTGTTAGTGCCCTAAATATGATTCTCAGTACTTTCGGCTTAGGGGGGTCTTCCGCCAGTTTCTTCTGCTACTTCATCTTAAGCAACACGCAGTTTTTTTTTAAATTCAATGGTCTTACTACGGGAAAATGCCCGGCACGTGGAGGAGATCCCAGACGATAGTAACGCGGCACGACGACGCCCGCCATATGTGTTGTTCAACACATCCACGTTACAGCGAGGGTAGGAAGCGACGTCACGCGCGCGATAGTCACACAGGACCTAATTGGTTTAATGCTGCATAGCTGCGGTGTGTTGCAGCATTTATAGCGAGATACATATGCTAGTAGTCCGCGTGCGTCACTCGCTACGTTAACTCCGCCTCCTTGAAACTTGAATTAACTCACTACTCTAACTTCCCGAATTGGTGTGAGCGGTCGCTTCAAATTCGCTTTTGTATCTGTAACTTGGCGTTCACATTGCTAGTTTTTTTCATGTGACTGCCTTTATTTGAAGGTATGTCGACTTCAGCTGAGGGTGACACGGCCGTGCGAAAGAAACGCACACTTCAAGACCGTGAGAAAAAGAAAGTTCGAAAAAACTCGGATTCAAAGGAGCACACAAAGGAACCACGAGATGTGAAAACTATTCAACGTACGAAGAAGCCTGATGATGAATACGAATACGATTCTTCAGATGAAGAGGTGTTTTTTTTCGCACAGTTACTTGATTTCTTCGTCGCTTATCCAATGCCTAATCCTGCACGTTTCTTATTATTAAGGACCTTCGGACATTACCATAGGAAACATTCCTGTAAACTGGTATGATGAAGAAGATCATATTGGATATGATCAGCAAGGTGAAAAGATCGCGAAACCGAAAAAGAAGACCGAAAATACGAGCGTTTTTGTCTTGAGAAAATGAGGATCCGATTACTGGGGCTTGGTTCGCTTTGGGTTTTGCCAGTTTCTTCTGCCTGGATTAGTGACATAACTAATTAAAGCATACTTGTCTGCTAGCTAGTTTGACTGATTATTCTCCATTTGAACAATCTCCTTTCTCAAAGTACTGCTATGTTCAGGCGAAAAGTATTTGACCGTCAGTCCGGAACTGATGTTGTGCTTACAGATGAACAAGTAAGTTTCCCCAGTTTCTTCTTCACTGGTTACGATCTTATCTGGTTGTATTTCGGCCGTTCATCGCTTGGGAGGGCAGTCTTACATTTCCACTGGTTCTTTCAACTGCCTCCTCCTGTTAACTTTAGGCGTGTCTCCTGCGGGAAGATTTAACTTTTGTTGACCAAGTTTTCTGTTGTTAGATAGCTTTACAGTAATTAACAAGTCTCCGCAGAAGGCGTCGCTGCCCTCTCCAAGCCTAACTGCCCCGATATTTCCTGAGCTTCCATTGTTTTTGAATACTGCAAGAGTTTCGAGAACCCTGCCTAACTTCCGGAATTATAAACTCAGGTTTCCGCTCAAATTGGATCTGCAGCCCTTTTACATTTACAAAAGTCTGCTAATTTTTCACCCTGCTAAACAGTCACATTCGCAAAGCGTGAGCGGGTCTATTTGGTGCAAAGCACTAATGGGTGTTTTGCCAAACTGAATAGCCCGCGTTCAACCACATTTGGCGAATGTGAGAATATAGAGCACACCCGAACGAAAGAACACTCCCACATTCACCAGTAGAGTAGTTCCTCTGACGGCGATTCTTCACAGTGGCTTATTCGCCACCAATCTCCAAGTATGAAGGTGGCCTTAAAGGAATGACTGCGAGCTCCCTATATGGGGAGTGCTGGGTCCAGCTATATACGAACTTGACCCATGAAAACCAACAAAACAGTTGCTGACTACAGTGTACCATTATCCATGAATGGTCGTAGAGGTCCTTATAGAGGGCTAATGGTGGTCTCAGTCGACGCGGAGGGGCTTCGATACTGTATACATCAGCCCATCGTGAGAGGGAATCGTACCACGACCGTGTTTCGGAGGGAGTTGCATACGTGAACGCGTCCAATTTCCCCACCATGCCGTGGTGTATGCGCTTTCTCATTCAGGCGCCTTTATCTGTCCTTTCGAAGGTTTAATTGCACATTCATTGAAAATGGATAGAAATTCCCACTCGATATTTTCACTAAATTACTCATTTTTCTAGGTCGAGAAATTGAATAACCTCGCATCTGGTAAATACCCCGTGGTTGGATATAATCCATATGAACCATTCTTGGACATATTTTCATCAGAGAAGACTATTCATCCAATCGATAATAGGTAGGTTATACCGCAGTGCTTTCAGTAACTTTATCGTGCTCCTGATAAAGCCGAAGAGTACCGATTCCACAGCGTCTTTCCCTTTGAAAAATAATCTGCCCGTTTCCTTTATCAATTGACCTGAGATATTCAGACCAGAGCCAAAAGCGCGGTTTATTCCATCAAGAGACGAAATGCGCATCGTAAGTCGTATGGTACACGCCATCAAAATGGGTTGGTCTAAGGGTCCAAAGCAAAAACCACAAAAGAAGGTAAGCTAGAGATTAGATTGGCATTGACCTACTTGTACTAGAATTCTAACTTTCATTTATTGCCAGGTTTACGATCTGTGGGCAGCTGAGGATTCAATGGACCACAAGACAAAATCTGAATTAGCTCGTATGAGGATGCACATGCCAGCAAGCACGGCTGTAAGGTAATCTGGACTTTTGGGCTGTTGGAAGTTGCAGAAAGTACCTATCGATGATGCGCTGGTTGCTCTCCCAGGCTCAGGTTGTTCTGTTAACTACTTACATCTCTCCCTTATGCTGATGCTACTTATCGAGTGCACGCTTCAAAAGGCTATACCTGATCTTTTTGACGTCTCCTGAGTTCTGGCTTTTACTTGAGTGTATTTAGATGCCGCTTCCAGTTCATGCTGAATCATACAATCCACCGGAGGAGTATCTGTTCGATGAAGAAGAAAAGCGGAAGTGAGTTTTCGGATTTTTGCATCACCACCTCAAGGCCGTATTCACGACTGGCACCGAGCTGAAGAATCGGAGAACTGTGGAATAGGAAAAGTTCGAGAAGGCGTGAGTGGGATTAGATGCTAGCCGCTCTTCGGCC